CCCGTGGCTGTCCCGGGGTTGACCCGGGGCTGACCCGGGACTGTCCCGGGGCTGTACTAGGGCTGTCCATGGGCTGTCCCGGGGCTATCCCGGAGCTATACCAGGGCTGCCATAGGGCAGTCCGGGGGTTGCCCCGGGGATGCCCTGGGGCTGTCCCGGGGCTGCCCCGGGGCTAACCCGGGGCTGTCTCGGGGCTGTACCGGCGTTGTATCGGGGCTGCCCTGGGGCTGTACCGGGGCTGTACCGAGGCTGTATCGGGGCTACCCTGGGGCTGTCCCTGGACTGTCCCGGGGGCTGCACCGGGGCTGTCCTGGGTCTGACCCGGGGCTGTCCCGGGGCTGTACCGGGGCTGTCCCGGGGCTGTACCGGCGCTACCCCGGGCAGTCCCAGGGCTTCCCCGAGGCTGTCTCGGGCATAGCCCGCTAACCCAATTTTTCGGGCCAAAATTCGCTTGTTTTCATTAGTTTCAGAGGAAAAAAATTGCAGAACTGTGAATGAAAACGGCCATAACTTTTTATCTAGATATCGTTACTAGGCCTATAATATACCAAATCAAAGATCTTTTCGAGCTCTACAATCATGGCAGTGCACAGCCCTCCAACCCAATTTTTCGGGCTAAAATTCACTTGTTTTCATCAATCTCGGAGGAAAAAAATCAGAGAACTGTGACTGAAAATGGCCATAATTGTTTATCTACAAATTGGTACGGGGCCTATAATATACCAAATCGAAGCTATTTTTGAGCTCAACAATCATGGTAGGGTGTAGCCCGCCAACCTAATTTTTCGGGCCAAAATTCACTTGTTTTCATCAGTTTCAGAGGAAAAAAATCAGAGAACTGTGACTGAAAACGGCCATAACTTTTTATCTATAAATCGTTACAGGGCCTATAACACACCAAATCGAAGCTCTTCTCAAGCTCAACAATCATGGTAGGGTGTAGCCCGCGAACCAAATTTTTTCGGCCAAAACTCACTTGTTTTCATCAGTTTTGGAGGAAAAAAATCGGAGAACTGTGACTGAAAACGGCCATAACTTTTTATCTAGATATCGTTACTGGGCCAATAATATACTACATCAAAGCTATTTTTGAGATCTACAATCATGGCAGGGCATAGCACGCCAACCCAATTTTTCGGGCCAAAATTCACTTGTTTTCATCAGTTTCGGAGGAAAAAAATTGAAGAACTGTGACTGAAAACGACCATAACTTTTTGTCTAGAAATCGTTACTGGGCCTATAATATACCAAATCGAAGCTCTTTTTGAGCTCAACAATCATGGCAGGGCGTAGCCTGCCAACCCAATTCTTCGGGCAAAAATTCAATTCTTTTCATCAGTTTCAGAGGAAAAAAATCGGGGAACTGTGACGGAAAACGGCCATAACTTTTTATCTAGATATCGTTACTGGGCCTATAATTTACCAAATCAAAGCTCTTTCGATGCTCTACAATCAGGACAGGGCATAGCCCGCCAACCCAATTTTTCAGGCCAAAATTCACTTGTTGTCATCAGTTTCGGAGGAAAAAAATCGGAGAACTGTGACTGAAAGCGGCCATAACTTTTTATCTACAAATCGTTACTGGGCCTATAGTATACCAAATCAAAGCTCTTTTCGAGCTCTAGAATCATGGCCGGGCAAAGAACTCGAACTCAATTTTTCGGGCCAAAATTCACTTGTTTTCATTAGTTCAGAGGAAAAAAATCAGAGAACTGTGACAGAAAAAGGCTATAACTTTTTATCTAGACATCGATACTGGGCCTATAATATACCAAATCGAAGCTCTTTTTGAGCTCTACAATCATGGAAGGGCATAGCCCGCCAACCCAATTTTTCAGGCTAAAATTCACTTGTTTTCATCAGTTTCGGAAGAATAAAATTGGTGAACTGTGACTGAAAACAGTCATAACTTTTTATCTACAAATCGTTACTGGGCCTATAATATACCAAATCAAAGCTCTTTTCGAGCTCTACAATCATAGCAGGGCATAGCCCTCCAACCCAACTTTTTGGGCAAAAATTCACTT